TGCCGTGCGGAGCCGTGCGAACCTCGCGGACGCGTCAAGCATAAACCAAGCTTTAGGCCCCCTTTCTTCAGTCACTCCTTGCATTGTTTATACTCCCTGATTTCCTATATTTTTTATTCTTAGTTTTTTTTGTAAAACCAGTTTTAAACTCTGCAGACAGGCTTTTGCTTCTGTGAAGACTACCTTTAAATTTCTCAATTGGCATAAACTGATTGAGCGTTTACCCGACACAAGGCTGTTCTTGTATCCTGCCACAACCACTCAGCATTAATTGTGACTATGATCATTTAAACAGATTTTTGTTCATTTGTTTAGAAAATATTTATCCAAATTATTTGTTGAAGTACTGTCAGCTTACCACTAGGTGGCTTATAAAAATCTAGGGGCTGGATCCTTCCAAGTACGCAGTTATAGGCTGATTAGTTCACAGCAAAAACAACAAGGCTGTCCAAATTCAAAAGATACTCAAAATGCTTCCTTGAATGGTTCCTTGTTTCCCTCGACTTTCAGGGACGTGTCCCGTGTATCCTTATTGGCAAAGGCTATCGCATAATTCATTGTGGGCCAATAATAGTGGATGAGGTGGGTATGTTTATTAATATTAATAAAATCAGTGATCAATGAGATTGTGTTATTAAGCTTTTTTGTATGGTTTTCTTTTCAAACATTATGAGAAAAGTTCTCGTAAATGAACTCATACAGTAGGTCCCACGTTTCTTCGTGTATTGCTACTAAGTTTATTTTTACTTCTGCGCCACCCTGTCATGATTGTTTGGCAACAGAACAGATGTCGTGGTAAGGGTGGGAATAAATAAGACGTTCAGGTTTGTCCAAATTCACTGTCGCTTATTTCTGACCATAGCGGTTGAGGAAGGACCTAACCTACGTGGTAAAACTACCGGTAAGCACCATATGCTAGAAAAACAAACTCTGAGGGATAAAATGTGAATGCTGGTACTGTGGATGACTAGCCTGGCAGGCCAGACTAAATAAATGTATTATTTAGTCTGGCCATGCTCCACTGATGGCTCTCGGTTGTGGGGCGGGTTCTACCGTTGTCTTTCAAATGATCTCCGCATTCCACTGGACAATGAATGTGACATACTCTTGTTTCACTCTGTTGCATCATCCCACCCACCAGGCATATAGTGCGCCCTGATTGGCCCACAAAGCGGATAAAGCTCTGTGATTTGTTCACTAAGCAGATAGAGCACTATGATTGGCCCACCATTATGGAACAATCACAGCTCTTTATGTGATTGAAACCCCTCTAGAGAGCTGTGATTGGCTAGCCAGAGTCCTGGTAGGAGCTGCAGAGGTTCCAATGGAGCGTGCCTAGACCAAACATTGCAAAGCAAGAATTTGGTCTAGTTCACTAGGCTAGTGGATGACTGGCTTTGGACAGACCCTATAGCTCACATTTACTGGGAGATGCTAAAAGAAGCCACACATCTTACAGATGAAACTCAAAAAAATTTAATGTCGTGCAAAACTTTGTTAATTTCAGTAAGGGCAAACAGGGCCCAAACCAAGTTCTGAGTACATATGCATGATTATACTTTTACAGAGGCCCAACATTTCAAATCATTGTTTTATTGATTTAATGTAATATTCAAATTGTCTGACATTTTGAATGTGGGGTTTTCATAAATTGTACACTATAATCATGCAAATTATAACAAATAAAGCCTCGAAGTATCTGGCTTTGTATATAATAAGTCTATATCATGTATTAGTTTCACTTTTTAAGTTAAATCACTGAAATAAATGAACTCTTGCACCATATACTTATTTTTTAAGTTTCACCTGTGGACAGGAAACATAAATGAAGAAAGACAAATTAAAAATATCCAGAGTAGTGTAGATGGGGCCTTAGGTAAATACCATTGTATCTGGCCTGCCCACTGGTCACCAGAGGTGGGACCGAGTCACTGCTTTGCAAGTCACAAATAAATCACAAGTCTTTCCAGTCAAGTCTCAAGTCAAGTCCAAGTCAAAGACAACCAAGTCCAAGTCAAGTCCAAAGTCAATGATGTGGAAGTCCAAATCAAGAACAAGTCCTCAACTTTGAATTTTCAAGTCATAATCAAGTCATCTGTCCAACTTCAATTTAATGACAATGATAATAAATAAATTCCAGAAATAAAGCTTCTTAAAACTTTATTTATTTGCTCAAACAGGCAGAAGTGCAACTGAAATAGATTATAAACAAAGTGCTGCTGCATTTAGCAGCAGAAGATCAAACCCAGAACGAAGAATGATTTATGATTGTTGTCCATGCCGGGCCACTTTTTTGCTAAAATATCAAAAATGCTCAAGTCATGATCATGTCAACAGATGCAAGTCGATTCAAGTCATAAATATTCATAGATTTTATCAAGTCAAGTCAGAAGTCATTAAAATAATAACTAGAGTCTGACTCGAGTCCAAGTCATGTGACTCGAGCCCACACCTCTGCTGGTCACTAGAATCATTAATAAAACTTAGTATGTACAGTATGCAAGTTTTAAAAATGTAGCCTAGATTTAAAAAAAATCTTCCTATAGAGTTAGGTAAAGCACCATTTCTGCCAAGCTACCATTGTTCACACTGGTTTTCTAATGCCACGTTTCACCAATCGGTGGTCTGAAGTGTTTCCACCTCACTGTATCATGCCTCATTTGGAAGTTCTGCAGTAAATCCCAAAATAGTACTGGCTACGTGATAACACCTTGCAATGGAAACCCAAAACAAGCTAATCCGTACTGAGCCCTGTGCCATCATTTACCCCCTTTAGGCATAGTAAGTACAAGATGTTTCACACATCTTAAAGAAACCTCAAGAAATAAGCAGCCTCCAGTTGCCTGAAGGCGCATTGCTTTCATAACGCCTTTCCATCCAGTTGACCAGGTGCCCAACTCTTCTCTATCCCAGAAAGACTTGGCAGACAGCGACAGCCTACCAAGATAATCAACGGGATGTATTTTACAATCAAACTGCATGGTTGTGGCATCCAGTTTAGTTAGACCATCTCAACGTCTTTGAGCTATCTAAACATGACCCCGACACTCAGAACATGCAGGGTTTGAATATGTTTATGGGTTTCTTGGTTGACTTCACTGCTTTGTCTTGTCCTTGCAGCCCATTCAGTAAAACTTAATCGAAAGTTGAGAAGCGACCATAAAAGTGTCATCAAATCAGATGACATTGGCATGTTAGCTGTGACTCCTGGCAGTGTTGGACTTGAACCACAGCTGTGTTTCTACTCCTATTGTTTAGATTCCCTGAGGGACAGAGATAAATGAGAGACCAGAACATAGGTCACAGATGGGGGAGCGGGCCTTTGTGTATGGAGAAATAATATTTAGAGCTGCTGAAAAAGCAAACAGCAACATTTCAACATGAGGTGTCTAGTAGTGTGGAAGCATGTCAGCTGTAGGGCATGTGTGAATGACACAAGGACAGATCCCACACTGAATGGATGGATCTATAAGATTGCAGGCCCTTTATGTAGATGAGGTAGTTATTCCAAGCTTCTCTTTTTTAGGGTGATTGTGAAAGACCTAAGATAAATACTACACATATTTTTGGGTGACTTGAACAATGATCACATCAATCTTCCAAGAGCACTCATTAAGAGGAAGGCCATTTTTGACCAACATTATCTAGGACTTGAACAACCCGGGGCTTTTTCATTTTTTTAAAGGTCGTTTCTGCCCAATGTGTTGAACTTTTGGAAGGGCAAAATACCTTCACAGATATGATTCCCAAGCTGGGGTGGCTGAGCTTCTGATGGTCAACGGGTATATTCAAATTAACCAATAAACAATCTTTTGTTAACAAAAAGTAATTTTTACCTAAACAAATAATTTGATTTAATTCCCATTTGGTCTCTGTTGATTTGCAAGTCTCAATAACTCAGATCATAGTTAGTTGTTCTTGCATAGTATTTTCAATTATTAAAGAACAATTTAATAAAAGCTATACATATTTTTTTAAATATTACCTTCACATAGTGTGCAGAAAGAAAGTTCTGTTACAGAGGTGTGCAGAAAGAAGGTACTTTCCTTCAAATGTTATATTTTAATAAAAAAAAAATCAAATATTTACTTTGACGACGAGCACGACTGGGTTTATGTTTGCATCTACCATTCAATAGAGGGCACCACTGCGTTGCCAGTTTGCTCTGCAAATCAAGGCTGGCCCTGTGGAAAATGTTGGATATGTATATATATATATATATATATATATATATATATATATATATATATATATATATATATATATAGGAGAAAAAAGATTAACTAATTCATCTTTGGAACAGTAAACTTAGTTCAAATTTTTTTAATTATGAACTAAGAAATGAACTAGTTTGTTTTAAAATGTATGAACTGAACTTTGAACTAGTTCATTTTTTTTAAACAACCTTTCCCAACACTGCCCGTTGGCTGGAGACCTTGTTTTAATGTTTCAACTACAACCTCCACTCAATAGATGTCGCTTTGGTGTTTGTGTTTCATTATCAACCTTGAACTAATTATATCTAAACGTAAAAAAGACTGTGTTTGCATATGGCGTCTAACCTAAGACTTATACTGCAACCAGACACCAGGGGGAGGTATTTTGGTATTAGCTTCACCTCTCTGTACAATACACACTGTGCTTGCAGCTCTCCAGCATACAAGAAGACACATTCTTAGGTGTTTTGATCAAGCAGCCAAATAAATAATTTGATTATGTAATTTTTTTTACAAATGCCATTTTGTCCTGTTTTAAAAACTCTTTAATCAACAAATTTAAAACAAAATGATCAAACTATGAAAAAAATTAATGATTTAAACAGAGCCTTGTCTCAGTCCAAAATAAAGAATTCAGAAGATTTTCAAATAATCTAGATAATTAACCCATTTTAAAATCAAATAACTACCTAAATTAAAGTGAAATTACAATTACTGACACACAAACGAAACCTTTTGAGAAACCTAAACAAATTTCAAGCATAGATTTCCCTTTTTCCTTACCATCGTCATCAGTTTCTGAACCTGCCACAGACAAGGAAGCAAATGAAACTGAAAAAAGCAGCTGTGAAGCACAAGCTTATTGCACAAAATGATGCTACACAAGACAACAAACACAGATGAGACACAAGCAAGCAGCTTCAAATTCTACAAAACACCAACAGATTCAACAAGGATAGACAAACTTGATTTTTGTCAGTATATCAGCATGCAAACAAATAGAAATATTTAAATAATTAGTTGAAGCAGGTATGAAAGAAAAATATGTTCCTAAATGCTATAATTTGGGAAATATCTGTAGAGAAAACCACATACAACATTTGTTGTCCTGCATATTAGTCGCATGACATAAACAGCGATGCATAGGCCACATAGAAAATTAGTGGAATAATAATTTGATATTGCAGTTTAGCAGTCACCGCCTGTGTTATATGAATAAAAAAATGAAAATTTAGCATATTTGTGTATACATAATGAAAAATTATGCGAAGATCATCTAAGACCAAAGTGCTCATGCAGCTATTTCCATTTCCACACTGTGTGCAACATGTATGCATTCCTATGTGCATACATCAAAGTGATTATGTGGAACTGCAGTCACTGCAGCCACGTCACATTATTCCTGAGATTTTTTATTTTTTTTGCCTTACCTCCATCTGCTGGGTGTGCATCTGAGAGAAATGAATGGAAGTTAGCTTAAGGGCTCAATAAGCTCAGGAGCTATTAGTCAAAAGCTAAGGAGAAAGTAAGTAAACACATGTGTGATAATTCTTTAATCTACAATGTAGTGGCCATGTTTTAGCATGGGCACAAATGGACAAAATTAGTTTCTGAATACAGAAATATAATTTCACAGCTGCAAATGAAACAGCTTTTACTTTGCCACATGATGGATAAACAACAGCAAATATGAACCCACAACTAAAGGCCTACAACCACTTGCAGATATTTCCTCACACTCTACATGCCTCCAGGAAAATGTAGTTTAAAGGGCAGCATGAGAAACAGCCTGAAAATGTGTCCATTTGCACTCAGTCACTTTGTAATAAGGTCCTTTCTGCCTCCTGTACAAATCCATTACATCAGACATTATTTTACTAACCCTTGCATTGCTGTTAATTTCTATTGCACAGTTATTTTTGGTAGACAAAACATGTTGCTCGCTCTAATGATGATTTATTGTTTACACACGTGATGTGGGTTGCTAAATTGGTTATTACAAGAAGTAAGAAATAACATTAAATCATCCATGTTGTTTAACATAGTGATGAATTTCGAAACCTACATTTTGAACAATAAATTAACACTATACCCAGTAGAGGAAAACATGTTCAGTATGATCCAAGGAATACATAGTCCACCTTTGCATGCAGAAATATGAGATTTTATGAAATGCTACATTATTAAATGGAACTGCAACAGAGGTGCTAAACATGTAATGCTACATTTGGAGTGGTGTAAATAGTGTTTGCCTGGATCTTTACTGTAATTTTGACTTGTTTTAAAATGAAGGCAAATAATTTTGTTTTGTCCACACTGTAACAATCCATTAGCATATCAGAGCTTGTCAGAGCTAATCTTTGTTTTTTCCAAACAGTGGCCGTTCAGTTAGCTATCTACTACAGGTAAGATACCTTCTGCAGAATGCTCCTTAAAATTATTTAAGTTGTTTTTTTAGATTTAATTTCCCCAACTAATGCATTTTAAAACACTCATCTTAAAATAGACAAACTACGAGTCAGAAACTACCTATCTATCTAGCCATAACTCTCAACCTTTCTTAGCTGATCTGGGAACCTGATTTACAAAGCTTGCGCACACACAAAACAGGGTCCGAAAACTGCGTAGGGGACTTTCCACGCAAGCTTTGTGTTTTGAAAAGAAAAACTTGACATAAACAACTTTAAGCAAACTTTGGACCTAGCATAAGCACATTCTGAAGATGGTTAGATGTTTGATTTAAGACACGTTTTCAGACTTGTAGACCCTTGCGCGCACACACAAAACCAACCATCAGCTGACATCCTGAAGGAAATAAATATGATACAGATTCTAACAGCTGAACAAACCACTGTCACAAGACCACACTCATCTTTGATGTGTGGAAACCAGCAGTTGTTTTATTTTTTCCCAGCACAGCATCATCTGTGTGGCTCTGTAATTTGAAGATGGTGGAGTAAACAATTTCACTAATGATGTAATGTGCAACAGAGCAGGCTCTGAAACGCCTGGAGGTATAAATACACACACTGTATATACAGCAGAAGTTTGATGCCATACATAATTCAAAGAAAGATACTCTCCCAACACAAAAATATGTGAAAATTACAAATGTTGCACACTGATTACATGCTGTTAGACGTCTGCAGGTACATGCAACGAGCTACTGCAATGCTAAGTGCATGAAAGCTGGGAAACACCCCAGCACTGTGAACATGTCATGATGAAAGAATGTGAGGTAAACAGAAGGTCAAAAGGCGTCGCAGATGCTGACTTACCCTCCCCCGCTGGTTTCGCTGAGGACCAAGAAACAGAACAAGAACATTTCAGTATTAAGCATCAAATGTTTCACTTACAAGGATTTATGACATTTTAGGGTTCTCAAAAAATTGATATAAATAATTCTAATGACCCAGTGACCAGTCAGTGTGTATTTTTGTAGTCCAAAAAAGAAAAATTAAGTCTGCAAACAAGTAGAGATGTATGCAAATGTAATTAATTGAATCATGGTAAATTTAGCATTTGCAGTAATTTTTTGGAATTGTATAGTTTTCATCATCAGAAGCAACTTGGAGCTTTTCTGGTGAATTCAGGGTCAAATCCAGCAAGAAGGCATTCCCATTTCTCCCATTTGCAAATGTGTAATGTGATTTTGACTGCAATGGGAATGTTTGGAAAATAAACAGAAATTTGGTTCAGAGCCTCTTTGGTCTTGGCTGTGCTTTGGACTAATGATTAGCTCATCAGCGCTAACTCTAAATAGTCTGTAGATGTTTAATTAAATGTTTGTCTTGAATTTACGACCTTCAATAAAACTGTTCATTCAAGAATGTTTAGAGTATGGTAAATATGATTCACTTAAAACATGACCCACCAGGTAAGAGTATATCGACCTTTGACACTTTTTAAGGCGTGCGACATTTGCAGTGGATATTTGAAACGGATCTTCTGATGAGTGACATGATTCAAAGACCAAACTGGAGGCTCAGGGGGTCCCGTTTAAATGTGAGGAGAGCTGTGGGTGTCATTGTTGAGGCCTAAATCTGGTAAAAGAAAATTCTCAACTAAAATAGAGGGATGTAATATACCCAAGTCCCCCAAGTGTTTCTGTAAGGGTCACTTCAATAGTTGGTAAAGGCCACGGACGGTGTCTTATGACCCCCCTCCCCAGAGTCATGCCACGTTCTCCACGGCTGCACGCGCTTTCCTTGAATAGTCAGCCAAGTCGACTCTTAAGGGCTTAACTGTTCTTATACAATTCTGCTGCGACTTCAGGAAACACAGTCATGCATGCCTCTTTTTCAACTTGATTAAGAAACATGCAACAAGACATTTCACCGCCACCATCAGTTTAAGGTTCGGAACACTGAAAAAACGTTTATAATGATTATTTCTGATTATTGACCCTTTGCACTTACGCCACCTGATCAAGTGGGTCCACCATATCGGAAGGCAAAGGAATAGTAAACAGTGAGTGAAACGAGTATTGAACAAAGAGAAATGGGGCGAATTACCAATAAATAATATAAACACATCTCATTTATAATTTCAGGTCCATCACAGTCCGTGCCTGCCTTCCTCATTAAAAATATGAAGGTAATCTTAACCAGTATGTTTTTGCTACAAATCCCAAAACACTTAGAAGGCTGCTAGTCAGTATGATTGATCGCTGAGGTTCATCTTCATCCTTAGTCCCCATCAAAGACAAACTGAGCTTTCATCCTTGTCTGTTGGTGCAGACTCACCCGTCTTGATTAATGACGGGGAAGGCTGTTGTTATTTTAGCATCCAAGAAATAGCAGAGAACATCTCAGCTGGTAAAAGCTAACCATTAGCATTAGCAACTCCACCACACAGCAGAAGTCCTCAAGGCTTGAGTTATTTGTGGAGATAAAACATCAGCGATGCAAAGCAAACAGAGTCAGTTGTGGAGTCTCGTTGCTGTTATCCAATCTGAGTCGAGAGGTCCAAATATCATTTAGTCCTACCGCTTGAAGCAACTTTCTCCTCCACCTGAATTCTTTGTGCTGAAACGGGGGCTTCTTGTTTGCCCTGAGTACGACTTTCAACGCATTCATTCCAACTAGAGATCACTGCAAGTGTATTGATTAAACGAGTGCTTAACACCTTTTAAATCAGGCTGGCGTTTGTTTTCACAAATGCATAAAAATCACACTTCCATGCAGAGATGCTCCTCAGTGCTGTAAATATTTCATTCACCCTGTCAGAGAATGTAACACCTGTGTTGAGTGTAAATCTACAACAGCATCTGCTAAGCCAATCCACTAGGGGGTGAGAATCTCCGAGATCTTCAACAAGTTTGGGACAAGGCAGGGTAGCAAACCTCTGAACAGCTGTTCCTCACAGGTTCATCGTTCCCATCTGAGACTTTCTGTGGTTTCATGTGCAAAACTCTTCTAGACGTATAATTAGTCTGGTTTTTAAAGCTGGGTGTTGAGTCCTAACGCTAAAAAGGATATCTGGAATAACCTCTCTCTTGCATTTGGGTCTTTTTATCTATGTAGTGCAACATTATTTTCTGCACATCCAGCATGTGTTTTATCCATTTTAGAAATGTCTTACAGACCCGTAGCCTTCACTGCCTTGTTTGTTTACATCTCCATGTCTACTACTGACAGGCTGATTTACACTGTGTTTAATGACTCGGGCATAGAGATAGTCTGAGAGTCTGCAGGCAAACTAAAACTTTAAATGCACTAACCGAGGGTTAATGCAGATATGCAATCAACAAATACTAAACTGCCTGTTTTCTCTTCTACTGCCTGATCCAACCTCATTTATTTATTTATTTATTCTTGGCCAGATAATGTATTGATAGACAGTAAAACAAAAACACCCTCATCACATTTAAAATGGCTCTCCAAGAGTCTTATTGATTTATACGTTCATTTCTGCCTACTGTTATCCAAATTGCGCACCTTCATCTTTGTGGTGTGAAGGCAGAGCTATATGGAGGGTTTGGCTGAAAAGGGTCATTTTCGTGATCATCTGCACTCCTTTCTGCTTTGCCAAAGTCTCTGGGAGGGAACGGGTTTTGCCTTCTTAATTTTATGTTTTATAAAACCCTGTTCATATAGAATGCTATAGCCTAATGGTCATTCCTGGCGGGGGTTGGGGGGGTTGCATGGTTTTGATGTTGCGGTTTGCTACTTTGTAGCATGATAGACCAGTAATAGTTTTGTGCATCACCATCAGATGTGTTCTGAGGGGGTGTGGGAGCTGTATATAACCTTATGATTTCTTTATGCAGAAGCCACACTTTACTAAGCAGGTCTTCTAGTCGAATTGTCACTTAGCTTTGTTTCCACTGTGCCTGAATCAAATGAGTATGAAATGCTTTAATCTAATACACTCTACACTAAATCTATTGGGGTGTGTTTAGTGGAACAGAATTTCTTTTTGTGTCTTGAGATCTAGAAAACATCCAGTTCCATAGCTCTGACTGTCCTACCCATGCCAATGACAATAAAATCAAGTGCTTCTAAATAAATCAAACAGCTGCCTCTAAACTCAAGTGACAGCTGCTTCCTGTCCAGTTGGGGTTTTATTATCTGCCTTTTCTGTATAGATTTCTGTTTTAAGATGGCTGTCAGAAAAAGAAAGATTAATCATGCCATCATTTTCAGTCAAGGTTTCTTTGTTTCCTGGCAGAGATAAACTGCTCTGATGGACTGGAAAAACTTCAAAGAGCAGTTATGGTTCAATTTGGCCTCATAGTGTTTCATCTGGACACAGTGATGAGAGGAATTATGATCATGAATCATACCATCGCCTCCAACCATCGCCCAGAAAACTGTCATGTGGTGATTGACTACTTTGGAGCAGTGCCAAATTCAAGATGATGCTCTGTCTGTGCTGGGCAAGGGGGGACTTTCTGGTTAAAAGTGCCAGTTTATGTCATGATTTATCTCCACTGGGACAGCAAAAGTGGTAAAGCCCAACCTGATACGCCAGGGTCAGGTGAAACTTGATGAACTTACATGAAGAAAAAAAAAGTGCAAAAGGTCAGTGGTTATTGCAGAGTATTTTTAGCTATTAGCTTAGGGCAGGACCCGGCTGCTGTTAAATGAAGCATCTCAGATAAAGTTTCGACTCATCTCGTATGTAGAGGAATAGAAAATTAATTGATGTCAGTTAAAAAAAATTAGTGTTACAGGCAAAAAACTGTGCTGTACATTTTATTAGCATACAGACAGTGATTAAGCATTATCTAATTAAAATTTATCAAAGATGGAGCAAGCAGTAATATTTAACTCTAAAATATTAGTATAACCTTTTAGCATATTGTCATTTAAGTGCTCTGGGAGGAATCTACACTCTTGGCTTCCAGCGTTAATTTCTCATTACGATATGGACCATAGTGAGTGAGTGGGTTAGTACAGCAGAAGGCTTCCATTAAGGCCCAAGATTTTTCTATGCTCTTTACTGTCCCAGTAGCCTTAAAACTGCTCAAAAGTAACAGAGAAAGTTGTGTGTTGTCCTTTTCAATAAAATAACTCCACGGAGGTTGAAACCAGATTAATATAGGTTTGTCTCCAGAAATCTCAAAACTCCCAATAAAAAGCTAAATTACATTTTTTTAAATCCAGGTGAACAGATGTACATACAAATATATCTCCATGATTGAAAGAACTGCATAGATGTATTTTTGACTTTGCTAATAAGTCCCACCTCTTTCTCCTCAGCCCACTTGGGAGCAGGTGCTCACATCCATCTGCTCTAGATTTGTGAATTATGACATAAAAAAATGTTTATTTTGCATGAACTTGATTGGTATTGTTTTGATCCATGACAAAAATGCAGTTGATTCAGTGCATTGTTAAAAAGCATTTTGCTTTTTTGGCTAGTCTACATATTTTAGAGAAAATGCCTTCTTAAAATTCAAATGTTTTTTAGCGGTTTGTAAGTTCGATAAATATTATGTGCTGTCATTTGCTGTTAAAACCACAACATGTTTAGTTGAAATATTAGCTAAAAATCATCAACTTGAGCTCAGAAAGTACTCAAACAGCTACTGTTCTGGATCAGGTTATGGATTCATTAGATTTAGCTTGATCTAAAAGTTAATAAGCAATTTTTTAATGAGGAAAAAACTAACTTAAACTTGTTTTGCCTGCACCAGGATCTTAGCTACTTCCTGTAAACGCGAGCCAGAGCGCTCACAACATATAAGCTGCAGTTAGATGTATTATTTACAGTTAGCTGTAGTAACATGCACTCTGAAAGCTTTGCTGTGTTGTCAGTGAGATGAAGTGAACCATGATGATGTAATAACAGGATATGTGATTATTTATGGCCTCAGAAACACTGTTTATAGACAGAGAACAACAGATTGAATAATGTCCAATCTCATGGAACAAAAATGGACATTTAGCTGCATAAATAATGGATCTTTGCAGTGTCAGACTGTCAGAGATGCATGCTTTATCTCATTTTAAAGTGTTTTGAGTGCACTTTTGCATCAAATAGGTCATCATTTTTAATCTCCTCAAAAAATGTATTTAACGTTTCACAATACAAAATGCTTCTAAATATGGAGAAAATAGGTGAAACTCATCTATTCTTAAATGTAAGTGTATATGCCTTAGGCTTGTCATCTTCACAAAAATAATCTTGTTTTCTGTTAAAATCTGCACAATTTCAAGGTATTTGTATGTTTCATTCAAATACACATCTAATGATGTAAGTAACCAAATCTCCTGATTAATTACAATAAATAGTGCTGTTATAAGAAGTATCTGCATACCTTCAGGGACCGGCTGAGGCATGGCTTATTCCCGTGTCTTCTCTTTTCTGCAGGATGACTGAGGGCTTGTGGGGCTTATTCCTTTTATTTCTTTCCTCTCTGTGTTATTCAAAACTTCCCAGGAACTCAAGTCACCCACACCCTTCAGTGAGTGAGGAGGTCTGGGGAGGCTGATGACGCCCTTGAGGAGTTTCAGAAGCACTCAGAGTGACAGCATGAGAGACAATGCAATGAGGCTGTGGTGAAAAGGGTCCAACACTTATAAAGAATAAGGAACTTAATAGGGCTGCCTAATTCTGTCGAGCATCAGCATCTCACGGGGGGATACAGGAACCCCTCAGAGGACCGGCACCTGATCCAGTTTTTGACACTATCTGGAGTCTTGTGGTGCCAGACTAATTATCTCGCCGTACCTCTGCATTAAGGGATGGATCAAATAGTCTTTACGAATAAATGTATTACTGTGATAGACATGTTGTTCTGCCTCTGGTAAATTTCAGAAGCAGACAGAAATGAAGGGAAATAAAGGTCTTGATCTTTCTTGACTTTGACTTTCACCCAGGAACCAAATCTAGGACTTTTTCATCAAACGCATGACATGAGCTATTTCTTTTATTTTTATGTAATAAATGCAAAAAACAAAGAATTCTAATAAAAATGTTAAATCTGGTACTACTAGGTTTTACATTTTGAATGGTGACCACAGCCTTAAACTTAAAAATACCTTTACTTTAGAAATATGCTGACTGATTTCATTGCTTCATTTCATTGTGAACAGCTAACAGACATTTTTTTTCAGAAAGTCAGTTATATATAAGTTCTCACCAAACAGCAAATCAGTTTAACTAAATAGAAAAGTTATATCAGTGCATTAAGGTTAAAGACTAGAAAATAGCAACAAACATTCTACAACATAAAAAGGCATACAATATAAAATCCATCAAATGTTCTAAAACAACAAAAACCAGAGTCTATCTAGGTTATGGAGGATGTTTTCTGTGATCTGGAAAGAAAGAAAATGTAAATAAAAGAATGTTAAGCTCATGGTGAAGCAATAGCAGTCTCGGGAGACCAAAGCAGCCAGCTGACAGACAGACCTTAGGCAGACTAAAGTAGACGATCGCCAACCCAAAGCTTGTAACAGTGCACTCTTATAATATTACCTTATGCAGGAGTGTCCATCTCCTGTTTCACTCCCATGGCATAGATCCAAATCCAACACTAGGCGGTCTTAATTGGGCTACTAGCAGTCATCTGCTCCATCGTTTCCGAGTAATGTGCACCATCAGCTGGAGCCTCTGTGGAGATATGTTCCCCACAGCTGAGGTCAAAGTATGGATCTAAGAACAGAACAGGAATGCCGGTCAATGTGTACCACCAGAAACCAGGGATAAGAAAAGTGTAAAAAAATAAGATTTTTTTTTTCTTATAGGGTAAAACAGGTCTGTTCATTTTCTCTTCTGCTTTCTGATTCAGGCTAACTCATTAGACTGTTCATTGTAGTCGGATTCAGCCTCCAACCATGACTACTATTGATCAAGACAGAGTCCCTCATTTGCATGGCGAAGGTGACAGAGCAGAGAGGAGGTAAACATGGAAGCACACGACATGTTAGAGCGACTCTAAAAATAACCAGGATGAAGCTATTTAAACCTGAAGGAAGTCTTGGCCATACGTGAGACGGATCGGGTGATGTGCAGTTGTCTTATAGATCATGTCTTCTGGAAAACTGGTGTGATTCCTTCCAGAAGACACACAGCTTACGTTTTATTTAAAATAATTGATTTAAAAATTCATTGGCAAGATGGAAAATAACTTTTCTCTATGTTTCGGCATCCAGTGGATCTAATGTGATTAGCTCGTGATTAGTCCAGAATCTGTGCAAGCACTAATTTAAATTGAATTTCGCAGAAAATTTGCAATGCATGGCAGGGATTCTAGCTGACGCAGTGTTTTCAAAGGAAACGCTGAAACTACCATTTCAGGCACTCAACAGCTGTAAAACAGACAAAACCCAAGAGAAGGCGAGCTGCGTATAATAAGCGTATGCACCAGGAGCTGGGAGATGCTCACTTAAATTGCTTCTCATTAGTCTAGTTATGTTTTCGTACCATGCATTTTCCTTTCTGCTGTGTCTCATTGAAGCCAACTTGTTTATGTTACTTGAGTTCCCTCCCTTTGGTTGCAAATGTTCCTTTGCTCCTGCAGCCTGATCCAAACTATGCCTGCACCAAAAAACATTTAGACAGACGTCTTATCAACTTTGGGGAGGATTTATTTGTAATATCTCCCTGAAGGATGTTTTGTTGGGTTGTTGGTGACTTTTGTGTCATGGTGCAATACATTTTGGAAGTTTACCAGCTGCTTCCGACCTCCTTTCAACAATCTGATAATAGGATTGAATTGGAGGGGAACCATAAATATCTGGAGACTTTAGTGGAGTGCAAATGTCAAAGACAGTCACAGATATCATTTGTAATTTGCTTTTCCCAACAAAAATGGAGGACTTTTAGTCCACACTTACAGAACGACCTTGCTTTAACAGATTTTATTATCTCAGCTGTGTGTTTTGTAGTTGTGAAGTGAAGCAGTGAGGAAGGCTGTTTCTCTGACCTTCACACAAATAAGAAGGATCTAAGGTTCTAGCGCTGAGATTTTTTTAACTTATTTTCCTGACTTACGGAGAAGAATATTTTTTCTTGCTCCTCACTAAATAAAAAAAGCAAAACTACTTGAATGTTACATTTACTTTTACTGGCAAGCAAACGCTGCTGTATAGTGGTTTTTATTAACCCTAGACTTCTAGCCTCAAAGATCAAGATCATTAGTTTTCTCAATACATTTGCAGTGGCCTCTTATTGATGCCTTGTGAGTTGATCTCTGCGTGTGTGTGTGTGTGTGGGGGGGGGGGAGCTCTGGCGCTCCTGTTTCAGGAGGTCAAAGTTAGCCAAAGAAGTTGCGAGAAGAATGCAGAATTTGGAGTTTTATTTACAGATTTTTGGACATCTGACCTCTGATTGGCTAATAGCAACTCAACCTCTGGAGTTCTGCTTTATGGTGAAGTTGCTAATGCTATTGCTAACATTAGCTTCTACCCTGCTGGGCGCTAAACTAACAAAAGCCTTCCCCTTTGTGAGCCAAAATGGGTGAGTTTATGAATGTTAATTTACAGTGTGATGTAGATCTGATTTGCTTTTTCTAATTTAAGTGTTTTCCCATTTATTTTATATCAGTGGCTGCAGGTAATAGGTGTAAAATACTTTTTTAACATTCAGCCTGCATTTGAAACTCAGAGTAATCGATCATATTTCATAAAAACAAGTAAAAAATGGGTTCTCACTGAACTTTCTCTTTAAAGCATTCAGAGTATCATTGTTAGTACCTTCATCATAAACCTGCCATTTCCAGTCCTACACATGTCTGCTGCCCTCTGGTGGAGGATCTAAAGGTGACAAGAGCCCATGTTATTTCTTAGTTACTGTAATATTTCATTACATAATGACATAAAAGGATTATTATTATTATTATCAACATCATGATTATAAAACTGGTTATATGTAACAAATTCATTATGAATTTTTCATATAAAATGATTAAAATGTTGAGTCCTTTTGGGGTTATAAAAGAGACTGAATTTAATAAAAATCAATATCTTGGTGCTGCTTTATAGAAAATGTAAAATTTTTAACTTTTTTGTTTTTTATTCAAATTTCTGACTTTAAATAATTGAATGACATTGTGTAAAGTATCATTATTATTTCAAATGCAACTGATATATGATCTCATAGGAAAATAAGGATCTGTACAGGTTTACAAAACACTCTGTCTCCATCTTGTGGTAGTTGTGGCTTCCAGAACTTCACTTTTAGTCAGAAATAACATGAGAAACAATAATATGACAGTTGTAGTATTTGTAGTTGGAACACAAAACCCTAAGCAAAGCAGAAAATGGTATTTCTGAAATGTATTTGTATTTATTTACAAATTAGTTTCAGATCAAAGCAAAGCTAGAGCTGAATGCCTAAGAGCACGTCACCCTTGAACTCAATGGGCGATCCGTAGCTGCCTGCATCAAATTCAAGTCACTGATATTAGCCAACAAAGTCCAGAATAGAACAGCTCCCATCTATTTGAGTCATCTTGCAAAGACTCATGTTACAACTCGATCACATACTGTCATCAAAGGATTGTCTGCTATAAGTGCCTATGTCTATGACCAGTTGGAGCGCTAGCAGGACGGGGACAAGCCTGTCTATATTCATGAAACTCTGTAAGGCCCAGCTCTTCAGAGGGCACCTCCAAACTTCCACCCCACACTCCTTGTGCACTCCCCTCTACAGGTATTTAAAATAATTCCACTTAAAAGGTGAAACTAATACATGAGACAGACTCATTACATGCAAAGCCAAATGTTTCAAGCCTTTATTTGTTATAATTGTGATGATTATGACTTACAGCTTATGAAAGCCCCCAAAATCAAGATCAATTTTCTAAAAAGGTTCCATGTTCTACACTCAGTGGTGTTTATTGTGAGACCAATGGGTTCAAACAAAATAACAAAGTATGCCTAAACATTGTGTTATTTATTAATATTGACGTAATTTCATGTCAGGATGTGGGTTTGGAAGAAGGTTAGGACCCAAGATGCAGAACCAGAGACACAAGGCAGGAGGTGGAAAAAAACGTAAAATCCTTTATTAAGGAGTAAATCCAAAGGAGGCAGGGAGCCAAAGACCAAAGTCCAAAAATCCTAATATCAAAACCTAGAGATATCTAAAAAACAAAACAAACACAAAAAAACAAACACAAGAGACCTAGAGATACTAAAACCTAGAGAGGGGAGGGGGACGAGACGAGACGAGGCCGACACAACCAATGGACCCACAACACAGAGAGACACAGACAAGGTTACATACACGGGCGGGATGAATGGGAGATGAGCTGCAGGTGCGTGAGAAGAGAGAACCTAGTGAAATCAATTAACTAATCAGGGAGAGGAAACTAAGTTGACAAGGTAAAATTAACATGACCTATGAATAATAACCAAAATCTAAAGACTGGGAGAACAAAATAAATATCTAAGGAGAAAAAGAGAACTAATAAACCGGTGGGGAAGAACCAAGAAACCTAGGAGAAGAAAACCTAACCTATGAGAACTATAGGAAAAAACTAGTTAAATAATACAAGAAAACAAGAATAGGTGAGCCTGGGAGACCTGGTGGGAGCTGGATGCAAGAAGGGGCACAGGAAGCTTAAGGGAGGAGAGGGCTGGGGAACAAGGGACACAGAACCTGAGGGGACACATGGAGGGAGAAACCTGGAGGGGGCTGTAGACAAGGGGACAAATGGGAAACACAAGGAGACACATTAGGGGATCCTAGAGGGGGATGGAGAACACCAGGAGACACATGAGGGAGACACAGACCATGACATTTCAGTGATGCTTCTTTAAAGATGTGGTTTTCTGACAAACCATTTTTAATGATTATTTTTTGTTTCTCTGTTTGTCATACAGAATGAACAAGAAAATTGTCTCCCACACCTATCTCCTGCATTAGCTTCCAATAGAAAATAGATGGAGAAACATATACATTAAATGATCAATAAGATGTGATGTTCCTTATAAACAGGAAATATCAATCTGATTGGTCTTTGAATGTTTAATCAGAAGACTTTAGTTTCTTTTGACTTATTCAGGGAACACACAATTCACTTTAATTCTGACAGTCAAGAATATGGTTATAAAAATGATTTTTATTCTATTCTTCTAAACTAAACGATTGTACATGACAAAGCATGCATTAAATGATTGAATGTGAGCTAGATGTTTTAGAAAAACCTTTCTTAAGAATCTGAGAGAGATTGTGGTGTCTGGGTTGTAAAATCCATTTGGCTGTATGGTTTGATAAGCTATAGATTTTGTTATAAAACCATTCCACGCAATATGTGCCAGTCTACACACCCTTGTGTGAAGATCCCCAAGCAATCCAGGGGGTCAGGAGG